GTGTGTGTGTGTGTGTGTGTGTGTGTGTGTGTGTGTGTGTGTGTGTTGGGGCGGGGCTCTGCCATGAGGAAGTTCGGCTTAAAAACACATCCCAGGGGCGTTCCTGGTACAAAAAGTGTTTCTGGTCCCCACCTGTCGTTTTGCTCCTCAGCATGGCTTCCTAAAAACGCTGCAGGATTTCTCAAACATGCATGAATGAGTCAAAGCAAGGCTTTGGGCATGTTTTTTATGACAGTATTACATTATAACATGATATAAAACTCAAAAAAGTTGATTTTACATGATGATATTGCCCCTTTAAACATGGAACTGGCAAACTTGTCACTTGAAGTGTAAACTGTAACACGTTCAGTGGAGTATCGACACCAGTATCCCAGTATCACTACTGAACGGGTATCATTTTGATCGTATGCTTGTAAAAAGGCTAGTAAGGCCTGGTTCACATGGCAAGATTTTAAAATTGTCGGCCGATTTTCAAAGACTGAGAGACCCCACGTGAGGACAAATCTTTCGTGACCTCCAGAGATCGGACGTGAGTTCTGAGTAAATAAATATTTGAGATGAGAAAGAAGCAATGTTGATCGTTTGTGGACTATTTTTAACAATGAAAAACAATTCAAAATGACTTCTACAACGTCCAGCGGACTTTCTGGTGACAGTATTTTATGTCTTCTTTATTTTGGAATCCCCTCCATGTTTGCATCAACTCTCGCTTTCTGATTGGCTACACGTCACATTCAGCAGGTTCTCAGGTGGACGCCACACACGCTGGGAGATAGAGCCAAAAAATCAAACGTAGAATATCCCTGATTTGATGTCAGAGGGGTCCCGACGTCCTTCCAAGCAGACTAGATCAGGGGTTCTTAACATTTTTGACCTTGGGGCCCAATTTGTTCAACATAAAGTGACACCAGGCATTTTTTTTAATATTATAACCTGCCCATAACATTTATTTGAACAAATACAAAGGTCAGTGAACAGACCACTCAGGCTTATCAACACGAAAATATTTTTTTAATTAAACAGCAACAAAAATAGACAATTCAATAAATAAAATTGTGATCATAAAATAAATACATTCAAAAATATTTTATGTAAATGTTCCAAATAAAAAAACTGCAAAACTAAATTTGATAAAGTGCAAATGAAAATAAAGCCTTTTTAAACTTTTCGTGGTAGAACCAGAAGCTGCACTTCATATTAGTGACAAACTTTGACATTTTTTGATGAGTTACTTTCATTTTTTGCTTCTACTTTTCATTTAAAATAGTTTTCCATTCTCGGCAGGTTTCTAAGGTTCTTCTTCTATGTATTAAAA